GTGTTGTGCTTAGAAAATATGCATGGTATGATTTCGATCTTGAATTAGTTGAGTTTTGTTTTGTGGGTTAATATGTGATCTATTCTAGAGAATGTTCTGTGTGCACTTGAATGTGTATTCTGCTGTTTTAGAATGGAATGTTCTGAATATATCTGTTAAATCCATCTGTTCCAATGTGTCATTCAAAACCATTGTTTCCTTGTTGAGATGATCTATTGATGTAAGTGGGGTGTTAAAGTCTCCTATGGTTATTGTATTATTATTGATTACTTCCTTTATGTTTGTCATTAACAAATGACATGGGTGTTCCTGTGTTGGGTGCATAAATATTTACAGTTGTTATTGTAATTTTTATTATTATATAGTGCCCTTCTTTGTCTCTTATTACAGTCTGTATTTTAAAATTAATTTTGTCCGATATAAGTGTTGCTACTCCAGCTTTCTTTTGATACCCATTTGCATGATAGATGTTTCTCCATCCCCTTACTTTCAATCTGCAGGTGTTTTTAGGTCTAAAATGAGACATTTTATGTTCTAAATGTAGACAGCATATAAATGGGTCTTGGTTTTTCACCATTTTGTCACCCTGTGTCTTTTGATTATAGCATTTAATCCATTTATAGTCAAAGTAATTATTGATAGATATGTATTTATTGTCATTACTTGTTTTGTCATTTCTGAAGATTTTCTCTGATCCTTGCCTTTCATATTTTGCTCATTTTCTTTAGTTATATATTTGGATTTCTTTCTCTTTGTACTTTGCATATTTATCAGTGATTTTTGATATATGGTTACCATTAGGTATATATATAACTTCTTTTGCATATAGCAGTGTATATTAAGTTGATGGTTGTTTACGTTTGAATCCATTCTTTATTCTTTTCTTCTCCATGTTTTAGGTATATGTTGTCATATTTTACATCCTTTTATCTTGTGAATTCCTGGACTCATTTTTTTACAGCAGTATTCATTTTTACTGGTTTTGTGTTTCCTGCCTTTATACTGTCACTGGTCTCTCCTTTCCACTCAAAGAGTCCCCTTTATTTTTCTTGCAGGGCTGGTTTAGTGGTTATGAACTCCTTTAGTTTTTGTTTGGGAAACTCTCTCTCTGCTTCTGTTCTCACTGGATAGACTATTCCTGGCTGCAGATTTTTCCCATTCAGCACTTTGCCACTCCCATCTTTCTTGGAAAGTTTCTGCTGAAAAATGCCCTCCTAGCCTTATGTATTTCCCTTGTATGTTACTGTCTTCTTTTGTCTTGCTGCTTTTTTTTTTTTTTTTTTAATCACTACAGTTTGCTAATTTAATTATAATATATCTTGGTGGGGACCTGCTTTTGTTGATTTTGATGGTGGTTTTCTCTCCCTCCTGGATTGGGGTATGTGTTTCCTTTCCCCGATTAGGGAAGTTTTTAGCCATTATTTCTTCAAATAAATTCTCTTCCCCCTTTCTCTCTTCTTCAGGGACTCCTGAAATACTCATGCTATTACTTTTGATGGAGTCATTGAGTTCTTTAAGTGTATTCTCATTTTGCATGATTCTTTTTTGTTTGTTTGCTTACTTTCCATTATTCTGTGTTCTAGGTCGTTAATTTGTTCCTCTCCTTCTTCCAGTGTGCTGTTCACTGTCAAGTGTATTTCTCATTTGATTTATTAAGCCCTTGATCTCTATTATGTTGTTCCTTGTCTCTGTGTTGAGGGTCTCACTGATGTCCTCCACTCTTTTCTCAAGTCCAGTGAGTATCCTTATGGTCATTGCTTTAAATTCTCTATCAGGCATGCTACTTATGGTTTCACTTAGATCTCTGGCCATGGCCTTGTCTTGTTCTTTCATTTGAGTTAAGTTTTTCTTTCTCCTCATTTTGTCTGCATCTGTTTCTGTGTGTTAGGAAGGTCAGCTATGTCTTCTGCACTTGAAAGTAGTGACTTTATGGGCGCCTGGGTGGCTCAGTCGGTTAAGCATCTGCCTTCAGCTCGGGTCATGATCCCGGGATACTGGGATCAGTCCCGCATTGGGCTTCCTGCTCAGTGGGAAAACTGCTTCTGCCTCTGCCCCTCCCCCATGCTCATGCGCACACTCTTTCTCTCTCAAATAAATAAAATCTTAAAAAAAAAAAAAAGTAGTGACTTTATGAAGAGGTCCTGGCGTGTCTTGCAATGCAGTCTCCCCTGTGCACCTGAACCTGGAACTTCAGGAGAGTATCCTATGTGTGGTGCTTATATCCTGCTGTTGTGTCTGAATTACTTTTATTTTCAGTGCAGTTGTCTGCACTGACTCTGCCTGCTCTGGGCTCTGCTTGGTAAAAGCACTATAGCAGCTGGAGGCTGTATGACAGCTCACCTACAGGCCCAAAGCTGGGCGCAATGCCCAGGGGTGGCTGGGTGCAGCTGAGGCTGGCAAGTGCCTGGGGGCATGCAGCAACTGGATGGGATGCCCTGCCTCCCACAGATGGCCCTGGGTTTATGGTTGGGGGCCAGGGGGAGGAAAATGCCACCTGCCAGCTCCCTCATTTTCAAAGAAGTCCCCCAACATGCTCAGAAATCTGTATGAACAGATCTGTCTCCCATTTGCCCCTGGTATTGTATAAACTGCTATCTTTATAGTGCCTGTCTGTTCAGGCTGCTGTCCCTTTAAGGGCAGCAGCCCAGCTGTCACCTGCCCTCCCAGCTGGACTGGCTCTACTTGGCTTGTCCCAGCTCGCCCAGTGCTGAGTCAGCTGATTTTTAAAGCTCCAGGCTCCAGGTCCCACTGGTTATACAAACTTAATTCAGCAACTCTGGTCTTCACAAACTTTATGGGGATTAGTCCTCCCCACACGAGCTCCCTAGTACAAGGGCCCATTTCTCTGCCCTCTCCCTGCACGCAGCTGCCTCCCTCCTTTGGGCAGCCTCCCTCCACCTTTCTCATCTTTCTAACCTTTCAGATGCAGCTTCTTCTCTATTTTGTTGTGGAGTTTGTTCTGCCAGCCTTCGATCACTCCCTAGTTTATTGACTTGGTTGTGGATGATATCTAGTTGTAAACGTGGGAGGGGTGAGCTCAGGGTCCTACTACACCCTCTTCCCAAGATCCTTTAAAGTAATTATTGATAGGTATTTACTTACTGCCACAATTGTTTTCAGGTTGTTTTGTAATTCTTTCATGTTCCTTTCTTTTCTTGTTGTCTTATGATTTGGTGACTTTCTTTAGTATTATGTTTGGATTTCCTTCTCTGCTTTTTGTGTATCAAAAGTTTTTAGCTTGTGCTTATCCTGAGGTTCATGTATAATTCTCTGTATGTAGCAATCTATTTTAAGTTGATGATTGCTTAAGTTCAAACACATTCTACAAGCACTGCATTTTTACGCCCCTCCCTAGTTTTTGTATTTATGTATGTCGTATTTTGTATTATTTTGTTTATCCCTTAATTATTGTAGATATAGTTGATTTTATTACTGTTGCCTTTTAACCTTCATACTAGCTTTATAAGAAGTTGATGTACTACCTTCAGTATATGGTTGCTTATATCAGTGAAATTTTTTTCTTTCATAATTTTCATATGCTGTGGCTTCTCTTTTCCATTTAAGGAAGTCCCTTTAACATTTCTTGTAAGGCCAGTTTAATGTGATGAACTCCTTTAGCTTTTGCTTGTCTGGAAAACTTTATCTCTACTTAAATTCTGAAGGATAATGGTGGTGCTGCAGGATTTCTTTTCCTTCCCGCGGTTCTTGATCATGCCGCTTTGAAGAATGAAGAGGTAGACAAGACAGAGTGGGGGGCAGCAAAGCAAGGTTTATTGAGTGATAATAGTACAAAGATCCCAAAGAGGGAGGGGACCCGAGGAGATTGCCACGGGAGTTTCTAAGTCTAGGGGTTTTTATGGGGGTTGGTGGTGGGCTGTTTTAATCTGATTAACCCTCCATGCACCTGTAATGCAATCAGGTTTTTGTCCTCTTTCTCTCACAGGGGAAAGGCTGGAGGGCTCCTTCCAGGGTGGTGTAAAATCCTTTTAAGTGTGGTTTCCTTTTGGGGTGGGGGTGGGAGGCCTTGTCCCAGCCTGCCTCTCTTCCAACTATTCTTCATCAGTGGGATAGCCAATTAAGAACTGTTTCTTTGTTACAGTCCTATGGGACCTGGAAATGGAAGCCCCTTGGCCACCAGAACCAAGTAATCAAGGGTGTGTCCCTTGGGCAGTAGATGCAAAGGCCAGTGCATTAGATGGGTGCACAAGCTCTTTTCTGGGACTTACTGCCGACCTGGAGTAAGGCAGAGTGTGTAAAGATGGTGCCCTCCAGCTTCCCTGTTCTCTGGAGAGTATTTCTGTCGATGTGTGTTAAATTGGGTAACTGCTTCTCAGGTCAATGCTATAAGATAAGCAAATAAGCCTCTTTCAAAGAAAGTCTGGGTACTTTTCAGTTGGCTGCCTCTATAAAAGGCCCTGGGATGGGAAATCTGCATGCATGAGCCCTTTGAGAACTCTCGGTTTCCAAATAGCCTTGGGGATCTTGTGGAGCAAGCCCCTTTGGCTTTCAAAGCTAGATGTCTGGGGAGCTCATCTCTCAGATGCAGCTCTTAAAAGGTGGTATGCCAGATAGAGGGTTCAAACCCTTCACTCCTTAGAGGGAAGATTGGGTTTGTGAGTTCTCTCCTGATTGTGTATTGCTGCGCCAGTGGTGGAGTTTATGGTGAGTTGAGTCTCAGCCTCTCCTACCCATTTCGATGTGCATTTTTTCTCATTCACCCAATGTATAGGAGTTGCTAAACCAGCTTCTGGATTTATTTCAGAGGGAATTATTCCATATGTAGCTGTGGATTTGGTGTTTCTATGGGAGGAGGTGAGTTCAGGGGCCTTCTGTTTTGCCATCTTGAACTGGAACTCTCTAATGGAGTTTGTAGGTAATTACCAAAATCTTCCCATTTGGGGGATCTAAAACATGGTATGTAGTATCCCCATTTGCTTTGGGGCATAGCCCTGTGCCCTTTCTCAGTCCTGACCTAACACTCAGCTGCTTTGTGATTCTAGAAAAATAACTGTGTGCTACCTGAGGATGTGAAGAATTTTTACCTGATGACCAATGGCTTCCACATGACATGGAGTGTGAAGCTGGATGGTGAGTCAGCCTTCTTGCTATAGGGTGACATTTCCCTGGCTGAGAGTTTGGGTATCTGGATGGTTTTCATGAGTTCTCCTAAAGTGCAATGTCCAGAAGCTATGATTTTTTCCCCCAAAGCCAATACATACCATTGCTTCACCCACCACCCACTATGCCAGAGTCTAGCTGGTACTTACCTAGAAACTCAATTTAGAGGCTTCCTTTTGAAATAGGCTCGTGGGAAACCTTAATCACTACACAAAATTCCTGTACCACCTCAAACTTAAAGCTTCTGATGACTCCACCCCAGAGTATTCTCCTCAGAGTGAGCTGAAGGGACAGCCACTGATGGTCATAAGAGAGGTAACTTCCTTCATTCCCAGCATGGCAATGACCTTAGGGCTGTGACCCTTACACCAGATCTTTAACTTCTCTCCTGCACATCTCCCCAGCCTTAAGTTATCAACCACCTCACTTCTCAAGTTGTCATCTTTAGTATTAAAGTGGCTAGGACAGACATTCACGTGCAGATGTGGGAACTCATAACTTGGTAGAGTCAGAAATTGCAGGTACTGCGTACACATGAAAGACGGTGCTGTACATTTAAGTGAAGACTCCTATAAAATTTCATAAGCCAAGAACACCTTTTCTCTCCACTGGAGTCCAGCCCATTCCTGCCACAGACTTCCCTGCCCACAAGAGGCCTTCCTGTCTCTGTATTCCAGCCACCTCCCCAGATCTCCTTTGGTCCTCAGGAAGTACCCAGCACCTCCCATGCTGTCACTGACAACGTGGTGATTCTTACTGCACAGCAGATCTGCAGAACTGACTTCTCCCCTTCGTTTCCTCTGCCCTCTTCCTCTGGGTTCCCTTTTTTTGATGATTCCCAAAGCCTTCCTGTCTCTGTCACAGCTGGTCAGAGGCACTTTTTATAGCTTATTCCTGAGCATTTAGCATGAACTTTTAGCTTGGAATTATTTCCTCCGTTAGCCCAGAAACCATTCTTGTCACCACCGTTCTGTCACAAGAGCCTTTCTTTGAAGCATGACCATGGCCTTTGGAGTCTGGAGTGAGAGAGAGAATGGACAGAGACTAGACTGACGGTCAGATTTTCCCTTACCCACATCATGAAGACAGGCGAGCCCCTTCACAAGCACCCCTCGGAGAAGAAACGGGTCACCAAGTTTTCATGAATGAGTCCCTGTTCATTATTCTAATACCTTCTCTCCTTTAATCCTCCCAATCCTAGTCTTCTTATGCTGTCCCCACTTCCATCCCCCTTTCTGTCATTTCCTGGATAAAGTCAACAGCAGAGGCAGCTTCTGATGTTTACGTCTTTAATGGTCTGTTCTGCGTGGACTTCCCATAGTCTGTATACCAGCTGTTTTACTGCCTTCTGTTTTTTTCAACAGTCAGATTTCTAAGTCTTTGTATGCCATCCGGTGGCCAGCATCCTATATGACAAGGATTCTGTATAATAAGGAAGATACACAGTTACCTGTTCCCTGTTTACACCCTAATCACAGAAAACTAGGAATCAGGCAAGGTTGATTTCTAGTCTTCTGTCAAGTTCTCTGCAATGAGTAAGAAAAAATGACAAAGAGAAGGGGAGTGATCTTCCATCATGGAAAGTTTACAAGAAGAGAAGAATGGGTCAGTTACATAATCAAAGCTGTTACCTCTTTGGGAATTATAACCCTTCATGCAAGGGAAAGAGGGAGCAAAAACATTTTTAGATCCTTTGCTCTTCAAACAGGGCCCCTAGCCCTGATTTCTGGGTTCTTCCTGCGCATCCCCTTTTTAAATTTTCTTCAATATTCTACCTTAATGCATGCAGTGGGGTCTTTTCACCCATGACTATTTTTACTAAAAAAGGTTGGTGCTCTGGGGCATATAGTGCATTGATCCTCTTCCTTCCACTTTCCGTCAGATTCCTCAGCCTGGGATCAAACAAAAGCTGGGTTTAAGCTATTCCAGCAGAAGTCCTTATGATGATCGTGGTAGTAAGACTGTTTCTCTTTGCTAATTTTCCATAGAGCACACCATTCCATTGGGCAGCATGGCAATTAACAGCATCGCAAAACTGACTCAACTCAACCAGTCTTCTGTGTATTCACTCCCAAATGCACCAACTCTGGCAGACCTGGAGGATGATGCACTTGAAGGTAACAGGAAGGAACTTGTGCTCTGAGTTAGAAATTAGCCTGTTTGTTTCCCTTTTATAATGTTAAAAACCATAGGAAGACACTGTGGCATTGTAGTACCTTTCCGAAGCCAAAAAAACCTTCCCCGTTATGGCTTCTCAGGACCATGGGAGTAAGGTAAAAAAACAAACAAACAAAAAAACCAACCTGTATCAATAAAGGAAATTTTCATGAAGAAATGCCAAGGTTGAGATTTTTGTTTGGTTTCCAGCACCCACTTCAGTGCCTGGCACATAATCGCTACTTAATGCTTAGTAAATAAATGAATGTTAAAGATTAATTTGACTCAACATTTCAGTATCAAGAGCTTTCAGAGAACATGGACTCTATAAGCAGCTCCCTTCCTCCCTCCAGGCTCTTCGCCATCTCGGATTCAAATGGCTGCTAAAAGCTATGAGCAACTGGGCATAAGTGAGGACTTAGTTAGAATTGTGTTTGGCTGCATATATCAGAAACCCCATTACAATGTCTAAACTAAATAGGAGTTTACTTTTCTCATAGAAATCTGGAACTAGGCTGGTGCAGCTGTTTGAGGAAGTCAATGATAAAGTCTCCCTGTGGCTTCCTCCTGCACCAACCTTTGGATATGGCTTTCATCCTCATCACTGAGGAATGTGGGCTATACCTCCAAGCTTCCAGTCTGTGTTCCAGGGAGGAAAAAGAGTGAAAGGTAAAACAACAAAAACTGTCTTGTGGCAGAATCTCTCCCTTTTTTTCAGGAAAACAATAGTTTTCTCAGAAGCTCCTCCCAATAGCCATTGGCCAGAACAGAGTTAAAAAGTTACCCATAGCTGCAGGGGAATCTGAGGAAGTATGGTTAGCTGTGCCAGTGTTGTGCCCTCAAACAGAATTGGGGTTTAAGAAAGAAAGGGAGAATGAATGTTGACTAAACAACTAGTACCTCCAATACTAAGACCTTGGGGTACATTGAAGTTCTGGCAGAGAGAACTGATGCAAGGCTTCTCCATCAACTGCCTAGTACAGGCATCCCTTGGAGATATTGCAGGTTTGGTTCCAGATCACCCCAATAAGGCAAGTGCAAATGAATTTGTTGGTTTCCCAGTGCATATTAAAGTTAGGGTTATACTATATTATGGCCTATTAAGTGTGATGTCTAAAAAAACAATGTACATACATTAATTAAAAAATACTTTTTTGCTAACAAATGCTAACCATCATCAGCTTTCAGCAGTTTGTAATCTTTTTGCTGATGGAGGGTCTTGCCTCCATGTTGATGGCTGCTTAATGCTCAGGGAGGTGGGTTGCTGAAGGTTGGGGTGGCTTGGCAATTTCTTAAAGCAGTGAAGTTTGCTGCATTGATTGACACTTCCTTCCATGAATGATTTCTCTGTAGCATGCCGTGCTGTTTGATAGCATTTTACCCAGAGTAAAACTTCCAAATCGGTGTCTTTCTTCTCAGACCCTGCGACCATTTTATCAACTAAGTTTATGTGATACTCTAAATCCTTTGTGCTAATTTCAGTAGTCTTCATAGCCTCTTCCCCAGGAGTAGAAGCCATCTCAAGAAACCACTTTCTTTACTCATCCGTAAGAAGCAACTCCTCATCCATTCAGGTTTTCTCAGGAGATTGCCAGCAATTCAGTCACATCTTCAGGCTCTCCTAATTCTAGTTCTCTTGCTATTTCCACCACATCTGCAGTGACTTCCTCCGCTGAAGTCTTGAATCCCTCAAAATCATCCATGAGGGTTGGAATCAACTTCTTCTAGAATCCTGTTAATGTTGATAGTTTGACCTCTACCCATGAACCATGAATGTTCTTAATGGCACCTAGAATGGTGAATCCTTCCCAGAAGGTTTTCAGTTTACTTTCCCCAGATCTATCAGAGGAATCACTAGTGATAGCACTTATAGCCTTATGAAACATATTTCTTAAATATTCAGACTTGAAAGTTGAAAAGACTCCTTGACCCATGGGTAGCAGTATGATGTTGTGTTAGCAAGCACGAGAACAACATTCATCTCATTGTACATCTCCATCAGAGTTCTTGGGTGACCAGGTACATTGTCAGTAAGCAGTAATATTTTGAGAGGAATCTTTTTTTCTGAACAGTTGGTCTCAACAATGGGCTTAAAATATTCAGTAAACCTTTGTTGTTCCATTTACAGAGCACAGGCAGAGTTGATTTTGCATAATTCTTAAAGGCCCTGGGATTTTCAGAATGGTCAGTGAGCATTGGCTTCAACAAAGTCAGCATCTGCAATAGTCCCCACAAAGAGAGTCAGCCTGTCCTTTGAGGCTTTGAAGCCAGGCACTGACTTCTTTTCTTTTGCTTTGAAAGTCCTAGATGGCATCATCTTCCAACAGAAGAATGTTTTGTCTACATTGAAAATCTGCTATTTAGTGTAGCCACCTTTGTTAATTATCTTAGCTCGATCATCTGGATAACTTGCTAGTTTGCCTTGCACTTTATGTTATAGAGACAGCTTTTTCCTCAAACCTCATCAACCAACCTCTGCTAGCTTCAGACTTTGTCAGCCTTGCTCTGGATTAAGCTTTGGCTTTTAAAGGAATGTTGTGGATGGTTTGATCTTTTATCCAAATCACTTAAAACTTTCTCCATATCAACTATAAGGCTGTTTTACTGCCTTATCATTCATGTGTTCACTGGAGTAGCACTTTTAATTTCCTTCAAGAACATTTCCTTTGCATTTGGCTATTTGGCACAAGAAGTCTGGCATTCAGCCTATCTCAGCTTTCAACATGCCTTCCTCACAAAGCTTAATCTTTCTAGCTTTTGATTTAAAGTGAGAGACATGCAATTCTTCCTTTCACTTGAACCTTCTAAGGCCTTTGTAGGGTTATTGATTGGCCTAATTTCATTACTGTGTCACAGGGAATAGAGAAGCCTGAGGACAGGAAGAGAGATGGAATGGCCAGTCAGTGGTGTTCAGAACACATATATTTATCAGGTTTGCTGCCTTCTGCAGGTGTTTTATGGCACCCCAAAATGGTTACAATAATATCAGAGGTCTTTGGTCAAGAAGGCAGGCACAAACTTCAGCAGCACCACATCTCCCAATCCCTGCATTTTGCAGGGCTTCAGTCTCTGCAGCAGTGACGATGATGGCAGCTGCAGTGGGCCCCGTGGAAGCCTGAGGGATGCCTTGTTGAGTGCCCCGACCATGCATACTTTGCAGATTCGTTTGGGCTGGCCTCTCCTGGCAGCAGGTCTCATTTTGCAAGCAGACTGGTGCATACCTTGTTAAAACACACCCCTTCCCTGGCTGGGGACCAAACACTGCCCACAATAGGCAAAGAGAGCCTCTGCAGATAACTGTAATGAAGGAAGAAGAGGCCAGGACACAAGAGGGCACGCACAATACATATAGGAGACAACCCTGAAGTGCCAGGTCCAGAGGACACTGTGCTTTAGGGAACTATAGAACTGCTTCTTCATAAGGCCATTACTTTCAAGAGCAAGAGATGTAGCTGATCTTCCTAACACACAGAAACAGACACAGAATTAGACAAGATGAGACAGAGGAATATGTCCCAAATGAAAGAACAAAGACAAAACCACAGCAAGAGACCTGAGTGAAACAGATATAAATAATAAATATGCCTGATAGAGAATTTAAAGTAATGGTCATAAAGATACTTAATGGAGTTGAGAAAAGAGTGGAGAACATCAGTGAGACCCTTAACACAGAGATAAAAAAGAATCAGAGATGAACACAATAAATCAAATTTTAAAATGTACATGGTTGGAATAAATAGATTAGAGGAAGCAGAGGAACAAATTAATGACCTGGAAGACAGAGTAATGGAAAGTAATCAGGCTGAACAAATGAGAGAAAAAAGAATTATGCAAAGTAAGAATAGACTTAGGGAACTTGGCGATTCCATCAAGTGTAAGAACATCAATATTATAGAGATCCCAGAAAAGAGAAAAAAAGGGAGCAGAAAATTTATTTGAAGAAATAATAGCTGAAAACTTCCCAAATCTGGATAAGAAAACAGATATCCTGATCTAGGAAGCACAGAGACACCCCCTCCCCCAAAATCAACCCAAGGAGGTCCACACCAAGACACATAATTAAAATGGCAAAAAGTAGTGATAAAGAAAAAAATTTAAAAGCAGCAAGAGAAAAGATCATTACATACAAGGGAAACTCCGTAAAGCTATCAGATTTTTCAGCAGAAACTTTGCAGGCCAGAAGCGGGTGGCATGGTATAGTCAAAGTACTGAAAGGATAAAATCTGCAGCTAAGAATTCTCTATCCAGCAAGGCTCTCATTCAGAATAAAAGGAGAGAGAAAGAGTTCCTCAGATAAACAAAAACGAAAGGAGTTCATGTCCGCTAAACCAGCCCTGCATGAAATATTAAAGGGGATTCTTTGAGTGGAAAGGAAAGACAATAATTAAGAATATGAAGAACAAAAGCAATAAAAATAAGTGTATCTGTAAAAATCAGTCAAGGGATTTGCAAAATAAAACTATGTAAAATATGAAACGATTATATATCTAAAATGGGGGGGAGGGAGTAAAGAGTGGTTTCAAACTTAAAAGGTCATCATAATAATGCAAAATGTTGAAATACTGCAAGGATTACCAAAATGTAACACAGACACAAAGTGAGCAAATGGTGTTCGAAAAATAGTGCCAATAGACTTGCTCAACACAGCGTTGGTACAAACCTTCAATGTGTAAAAAAAAAAAAAAAAAAAAAAAAAAACATTATCTGTGAAGCACAATAAAACAAGCTATGCCTGTAATGGAGGGATCCAGGAGCAAAGACTGGAAAGTGATGGGCCTTGGCAAGAGCCTGCCACTCAGAGATGTAGGGAGTCCTCACAAGAAAGGGAAAGGTCACATCTGCTTCATATGTATGCTGGGACTTTTGAATGCGTGAAGGCAAAGAAGTTGTTAAATAAGTAGACTGAATCTTCCCTGCCTTTGAAGTTGGAAGATAGAGGTGGACTGGATGCTAGAGAGTA